GTAGCTACAGAGAATCTACATCTTGAGCAGTTAGATGTGAAGACAGTTTTCCTTCAAGGTGATTTGGAGGAAGAAATCTATATGAGGCAGCCAGAAGGCTTCATTAAGGCAGGCAAGAAAACATGGTATGCAGGTTGAAGAAGAGCTTGTATGGTTTAAAACAAGCTCCTAGACAGTGGTACAAGAAGTTCGATAGCTTCATGGGGAGCAATGGTTTTACCAGATGTCAAGCATATCATTGTTGCTATATCAAGAAGTTCGAAAACAGTTTCATTATTTTATTATTGTACATTGATGACATGCTCGTTGCAGGCTCAGACATGTAAGAGATTATAAACTTGAAGAAAAAATTGTCGAAGTAGTTTGCAATGAAAGATCTGAACGCTGCAAAGCAAATTCATGGGATGAGGATTAAGAGAGACACAAAGTCGGGGACTTTGATGTTATCACAAGCTTAGTACATCAACAAATTACTCTCCAGGTTCAACGTGCAAGATGCTAAACCAGTAAGTACACATTTAGGTGTTCATTTTAGACTCTCCAAAGAACAGTCACCAAAGACGGAGGAAGAACGTGCACACATGGTGAAGGTGTCGTATGCCTCAGCAATTGGAAGTCTGATGTATGACATGGTTTGTACTAGACCAGATATTGCTCATGTAGTGGGAGCTGTTAGCAGGTACATGAATAATCTAGGCAAGGTACACTGGAAAGCAGTCAAATGGATCCTCAGATATTTGCGGGGTACTACAAACAAAACACTTTGTTTCAAAGGTGGAGATACGATACTGACAGGCTATGTAGATGCTGACTTAGCCAGAAATGTTGACATCAGAAGAAGCACTACAGGGTATGTCTATACTCTAGGAGGTACCGCAGTGAGTTGGGTTTCTCAACTACAGAAGATAGTTGCTTTCTCCACAACTGAAGCAGAATATGTCTCTGTTACGGAAGCCAACAAGGAGATGGTTTGACTCCAAAGTTTCTTGGAAGAGTTAGGCAAGAAACAATAAAATAATGTCTTGTATTGCGACAGTCAAAGTGTCATTCATCTAGCGAAGAATCCGTCTTTTCATTCTAGGATGAAGCACATACAATTGCGATATCATTTTATCCGGTCTCTTCATGAAGATGGGATTTTGAAACTTGAAAAGATTAGTGGAGCTCAAAATCCGCCAGACATGTGAACAAAGACGGTAACTACGGACAAACTGAAGTTGTGTTCAGCTTCAGTTGGCATGCTAGAGTAATAAGACCAGAAATGTTGTTGCATTGATCGAGGTGTGAAGACAGATTAAAATCAATCATCAAGTGGGAGATTATTGAAATTCAAAGCAGCCACCAGCCATCAATTCCTTGGTAGATGGTGTTGAAAATTTGGCAGCAGCTGGCGGCTGCTTAGAATTCAAAGTTAGGCAGTGTTTTTGTTGAAAAATGGTAATGGGAAAATTGCATTTTAGTCCCTACACTTTAGAGTATTTACAAGATTAGTCCTTAAGCTTCAACTATAAATACCCTAACCTATTTAGCTTCAAAATCATCCCAAATCATTTATTTCTCCCAATACTAGAGAGCTTTCTAGTGAGTTGTGAGTGTTTTGTAAACACCTGTATTTTTTTTTCTTTAGTAAAAGATCTGCAGCAGTCCGGAGACGTAGGCATAATTGGCTGAACTCCGTTATCAATTTCGGGTATTATTTTTCCGCTTTTTTTTCGCATTCTCACTAATTTGGTTATAGGGAAATTACTCGTTTATTTCCCAACAAGCAGTGCAGCTAAAGGGTTAAAACTCATCACTTTCCACACCAGCCGAATAGCGTTCTGCATTTCGATATTCATTCCTGTTGTGATCAATTGGTGAAAGAATGTATGATCATTTAGCATTGAATTCATTGATGAAAACGTAAAAAATTTGATATTATGCTTAATTGATTTCTTTTGCGAAAGGATGAAACATTGTTGGATGATGTTATGCTTAATGATTTGCTGTCCCCTCTATGTCCACGTTTCTCCAAAATGGGATAAAATGTTGAGCAAGGAATGCGTAGAACATGTGAATGAATCCCAATCACAGCTCGAACTACTTGTAACTAAATTTGAACAATGATCACATCAAACTAGGCGATGGAAGATTGATTTAATCGAACTTTACTCTCTAATATAAGTTGTCATTGACTCTATAACCAACTCAGTTAGGTCCATTATTAGAACATCTCTCGGAACTCCCTAAAGCCCTTCAAACTCTTTAAAATTACCCATTAAGGACTCTCGACTTCTATACTGCATCATCCACAACCACATTGTAAGTATCAACAAAAACCAGATTCTCCTAAATTCAGACAAGTTTAGTTTCAAACCCTTATGACATCAAGACACACACACCTGTCCACAATTCTGGCAAATTCCATCAACAAGGAATTTGAAACCGTCACCTTTGAGCTGCCATCTTTTGTCAGCAATTTCATTGGAAAGCGACAGACAAAAAGTTGGTTTCACCCAGTGTTGGGCAATTCCCCATAGCAAAGAAACTTGGTCATCGCAGTGTGACGTTTTAGGCATTCGACGTGGCCACTGCATGAGCACCAGAAACCAGCTGGGAATCAAAATGAATGCTTGCGTATACACAACCCCACACTCGATCGGTTAGTGTGAACATTGGCTTCTTCTTACATAGAATGAAACTGTCCATGCTTTAGTGATTGAAGAAAGAAACTAAAATAGGCATGACGTTTAATTTAATAGCCATTTTGACTTTTTTTTTTATTTTTGATATATTTGATTTAAATTTTATTTTAGGACAAAAAGACTCTTCCGCAGATAGAAACTATTAATCAACATGCTGTCAACGCTCTAAAATAATCTCTTTTTGCCCTAAAATGAAATATTTATGTCAAAATAACTATTTAATCAAACTTTAAAAGTATTTTTTGACATTATATAATTAGTTTTACACATTCTTAAAAAATGAACGACGTCTAAGGTTAATTATAGGAAATGAGAAGATATTCACTGAAAAGTAAGAAGATAATATCAACCGTCAATTTATACTTATCTAACTATCTTAAAAAATTGTAAAACTAAAATTTTATAATCTGTGTAAGTGGATCCTTATAAACTATTTGTTGGTTTAGTTAGATAACAAGATATGTTTGTTTGAAGTTTGAATTAAATGGAGTAAACGAGTTTAAGGATCTTATAATAGATCTTACTTGTATATGAATTTGAATTAATTGAACGGTGAATCGAATATATATATATATATATATATATATATATATATATATATATATATATATATAATAAAGGGAAGTCTCATGTTTTGAGGAATGATGAAGGAAGGATTGAACATGTTTCTTGTAAGAAGTGCAAATCAGCAAAATGCTTAGGTCATTTTACATGTCAATGGCTCCATGTTTCACTTTGGGCCATTTTTAACGTTTTTGTCTTTTTGTTTTGTTTTAAAAGCTGTTTGTGTTTATATAGCGTTTAGCTTTTTCCTAATGTTCTTTCTTTTTGCAATTCTTAACTGTAAAAATTATTGCGGAATCTCCTACAATAAATTCAACTAAAAATAGTTGAGGTTTGAGATTAATACTAAGAATCTGGACGATAAATGAATTCAACATTTGCATTTATGTTCCTCAACAGAAAACTGAAAGAAACAACAATGGATGTCAGGAAATTGAAAGAAAGAAAATTTGCATTTATTTTCTTGGCACTAAACACTCTTTTTCCTCCAACTAAGTGTAGAGAAATTTTTTATTCTTTTTTCTCCAACTAAGTGTAGAGAGTTTTTTTAACGAGGTTCTTGTTAGTGTGTCATATGCTTGTATGAATGTCCGGGGGACTTTGAACTTGAAACCAACTATATCATGAAGAAATTTGAGTTGGAAAGGGTATTTTTTTTCTTCCTTCCTAAATTATGATTCATATTTTAAAATGTTCTAATTGAGTGATCAAATTATCAAATATTATATCAATCAAGTCTAACACTAACATGGATGGACCTATCAAGGGCCTTGTCCCTCTAATTTTCTATTTTAATTTCTTCGTAGGTCTTTTTTAGTTTCAAAACTAGTCAAGTTAAGTATCGACTTTTTCTTTATTTAAATACTTATTAAGTCTGTCTAAATTTTAAAATTAAATAAATTGAGACCTAACATCCATATTGTTTTATTTAAACACTTCTTATATCCCTATCAAGTTCGGAATTCAACAATTTGGATCTCCCTAATGTTCTATCCTAATTACGTCCTGAATGTTAGCTCAAATATAATGTGTAATATATTTAAAATATCCATATCAAATTTTAAGTATGTGTTTATATCACAAGAACAATTTAGATTTAACTATATATATGCGCGCTTGGTGATATGGTACTAATACTTTTATGAATCAAGTAAAACATTTTGAAGTTTAAGAACTGATTTAGAATTGAGATATATTTTGAAGACGTTAAGTAAAATTAACCCAATTGTTTTCTATCATATTTGTGATTTTGATTCTGGTTTTTTCACCCAATTAATCAAGTTATTCCCCTTATTTTAATGAAGAAACTGAGTTCTGAAATTCCGTGTCCAAGTTTTCCTTTTTCTAATCGAACCTCCAATAGACTAAAACAGCCCTTAAAAGACTAAGAAAATCTGCAGAACAAGACAAATTCCATGCAACACAAGTCTTCCCATGTATTTATTCTCTTTTCTGTTTCAACTTTCACTAAACACCCCCCTCCTCTTTCTCCTTCTTCTTCCTCTCTTTTCATTTTCATTCTCTAATCATCTTTAGGCAACAAAAATGAATAAAATTGCTGATGTTGATAGTTGGCCGCTCAAAGGGTGTTCCAATTCTTCTTCATCTTCTTCCCTCGACGAAACCGGCTGTGTTTATTCACATTTACCGTCAGCGGCAACCGTGAGAGTCATCAGGCGACGCAATAAGGACGATGATCTGCCGGAAATTAGCCCGAAACCGCTGCTCATGAGGCGTTACGTTAGATAAAAAATGCCTCGTTTGAGATGGACGCCTGATCTTCACCAGTGCTTCGTGCATGCAGTTGAACGCTTGGGTGGAGAAGACAGTAAGCAGGCTATCTTCCTCAATTACACCTTGTTTAACCCTCCTTTTTTTTCTCAAATTACTAATATATATATATATATATATATAGGAGCAACCCCAAAGATGGTTTTACAGATAATGGATGTGAAAGGGCTAGCAATCTCGCACGTTAAGAGTCATCTTCAGGTTTGTATATATATATGTTTAAAGAATTCTGGGTTTTGTTTGTTTTCGAATTCTGGTTTTGTATTGTGAGAGTCTTTGTTTGGTTTGATAAATATGAACAGATGTATAGGATCACCAAGCATGAACAGATGATGCAAGGTATATACATACCAGATTAGTGCATGGCATATGTAAGGTCATATACACATACAGTTTTCACGTATGTGTCGTATATATGTATGTTTGGTTGTGTGATATTGCAGAAGCGGCTATTGCAGCAAGGAGGAACGAGGAGGTATCGGATCCGATGAACATGAACTACCGACAAAATCATCAGTTTCAGGATCACGGAGGACTCTTTAATCGCAATTCATTCCCCAGTATCTGCCTCGGAGGGATGCCAACGAACACCTTATTTCGGCCGCTACAATGGTAGAATTATATAAGGTCGGTGTATCAAAGAATTAAAATGATAATGTACCAAGATTTTGTTTACGTCTGCAGGAATGGAAACAAAGGGAGTAACCAGCTATCCTACAGGGAATATGAGCAAACATCAAATTCATATATAATCTTCCAGGATTTACTCAAAAGTTGCACGATCCAGGTAATGATCTCTCTTTGTTTCTGTCCTTTTTTGTTGAATGAACACCAAGAAATTAGTGGTTTTTGGATTCGACAGGAGAACAATGAACATCCAAACGTGGAGCCAGTACACGGTGGTGCGAATCAGAAGTGCAATCATCAGTCGGCAGCGGAGAGAACGGTGTCGGATTGTTCGATTCGCCGGTCGATTAACTCGAAAGTTTCGGAGACGATGTTAAGGCATGGCAAAACTGAGACTTTAAGTCTCGATGATGTTTCTCTAGAACTCACTCTTGCTTGAAAGCTATGTACTTAAAAAGGACATAACCAGCAGGGAATATCAAAAAGCTTTTTCTTTTTTTGGCTAAATATCTACATATTCTAACTTTTAGTGACGACATATATTGGAATATGAATTCGCGGATATGATATGGTTCGAACACTCTCGATTGCTCTAGACAAGACTTAACAGTGTAGCTACCTCCCCCAATTATGAGGAAGGTGACCAGAGGCTAAATGCATAGGCCAGGCTTGATTCACGTACGTGTTACAATTGCATTAATTGTGGCTCGACGACACTGAACCAACACTTTTTTATTTATTCTCTGTTAGGTTATGTTTATGATGATTGAAATTTCAGTGTCATCATCGATTGAATTGAATTGATAGACAAAAGGTAACAACATATATAGAATCGAATGATGATTGATTTAGACTATAGATCTTAGCACCTTGGATTCTGGGCTTTTTTGGGCTGATGTGTTCGTAGTTGAGATGACTATTTTATTTGGATTCAATGTGTTTCAATCCAATTCTGGTTAAATTTTTAAATTGAAAATTCAGGTTTCGATAAGTTAGATTTTTGGATTAAGTGCCTCTTTTGTTCTTATAATAGACTCAATTTATCATTTTTTCTTTTATAATATTTTCGTATCAATTTAACTCACAAAATTATTTAATTGTATCATTCTACACTCTTCTCTTAAGTTAAAACCCTAAATTATAATTATAGATTAGTATTTAGTGTTTAAGGTTTGTGGTTTTAGAGGTAACGAGGTTATGATTTAGGGATCAGAGTTTATAATTCAGGATTTTAAGTTAGGGGTATGGTATAGAATGATGCAATTGAGCAATTTCGATAGCTAAATTAATACGAAAATGATAAATTGAATATACTACATGAGCAAAAATTACCTCTTTACCTTTATTTTTTTAGTGTGGTCAGGTTGGCTTTAGAGCTAAGAGTGGAAAAACTCAATCTCACCTAACCCAACATAATATTATAATTATATTTTCTATATTTAGAAATTATTTGTAGTAATACTTTTTCTATTTTATTTTTCAATTAGGTGATTGTTTTACCTGATAAAAAATGAACTTTTATATATAAGTCTGGTCGGGTATGAATTTTAACTTAAAATATCATATCAAATTTTGAATGAGTAAGACCTTTCTAAATCGAGATCAAATTCGGGTGGATCAAAAATCTGACCCCTATTAATTAAATCCTTTTTTAATCTTTTACATCCAATTAAGTCTTTTAATTAAAAATTTATCTGAATAACTTTTTTACCAATATTAATCATTAATTTTAGGGTAGATTACACATTTAGTGCCTAAACTATTACTTTTTCATTTTGATATCTAAACTTTCGTTTATTTCAAAATCATACCTAACACTTATTTTTTGTTTGTTTCGGTACCTCGTAGTTAAAAACTCAGTACAACTGTAACAACATGACATTTTTTATGTTTAAATTACATTATTCATCACTCAACTATCTTTTCACTCCTATTTTGGTCATTGAAGTTTATATTTTAAAATTTAATTACTTAACTTTCAAAATATTCCTAATTTAATCATTCTAACTTTCAAATTTAATTTTTTATTTTAATTATATATTAATAAAATGATAATTAAAAATGTTGTGTTACAAAAATTATTAATAAAATAAATTAGAGTGATTAAAACATGAGCAATTTGAAAGTTTAGTAGTTAAATTAAAAAAAAATTAAACTTTAGTTAGCAAAATAGGAGTAAGAAGATAGTTAAGTGATGAATAATGTAATTTACCCATAAAATGACTCAGTACAGCACCATTAAGTTTTAGGTGAACTACATGTTTGGTAGTTGAATTTTATTCTCTCTCCTATTTAACTCATCGCACTTTCAAGTTTTTCAATTTACTCATTGTACTTTATAGATTGAATTTTTTTTGCCACTCCGCCGTTAAATAATTAACGAAGTTATGACATGGTCGTATTTTAATCAAAAAGATGTCGTTTTAGTCTAAATTTTTTTCTTTCATAAATTCAAAACGATGTCTTTTTTATGCAAATTGCCATATCATAACATTGTTTAATTATTTAACGGTGGATTGACAAAAAAATTCAATCTATAAAATATAGTGAGTAAATTGAAAAAATTGAAAGTACGATGAATGAAATAGGAGGGAGAGTAAAGCTCAATTACCAAATGTGTAATTTACCCTTAAGTTTTTAACGATAAGGTACTAAAACAAAACAAAAATAAATATTAGATATGATTTTGAAATAAATAAAAGTTTAGATACCAAAATGAATAATAATTTAGGTACTAAACATATAGTTTACCCTTATTTTACTATCGTAATTGTTAATGGGATGGTGACTCGGACGACTTTTGTTCGCACGAGTGGTCGGGCTTATTGATATAAAAAGCCTTTAAATAAATTTTAGGGCAAGGAACACGACTGGTCCATATTATAAGGTGTTATTTTATTGAATCTCTCAATTATTACAAGTAAAAAAAATGATCATTCAATCGTAAGGTATTTTTGCTAAGTTATTCGACTATTAAAAGTTATAAAATTGTCACTCAACTATTCATATATTCCAAAATTATCATTTTTCATTAAAAATTAACAGTCGTCTGAGTTGAGCGTTAACATGTTGACTTAGATATGATATTATTTTGAGATTTTAAGATCATATTTTATTATATCTCAGACAACATGTTAATGTCCAACTCTGACTGCAGTAAATTTTTAAGAGAAATGACGATTTTGAAACATATGAATAGTTGGATAATCATGTTATATCTTATAAAAATCAGCACTCAACAAAACAATATCCTATAGTCGACAGACCATTTATGTACTCTACCTTAAATTATAAGTCGAAGGGTTTAATTAGATGTAAAAGAGTGTGAGGAATAATTATTTTTGGGGCTTTCTATATCAGTAAGCCATTAACCACTGTTGACGTTTCCTGAGTTTTTGAAGGATTAGAAGTATTTCCCCCTTCAAAATCGCAAGAAATCTCTAAAACTTTCAAAGAATGTCTTATTAGTTTCAAAGAATTTTTTTAAAAGTTATTTTCTGATGTTGTTCTACCAATTAAAATGAATCACTGAAACGGATTACTCAATCCAAAATCAAATTTACGTGATCCTTGAATCGAAGGATAATTTGCAACAATATTTTTAAAGAAAAATTATAAAAATAAATTATGAATGCTACGAGTAATCCTTCATTTTCATTAAAATTGTTATGAAAGTTTGAAACATAACGAAATATGGTATATAGATTTTTAACTTAACTTACACAAATTTAAATCATTCTAACAATAATTTTTTATTTTTTTGGTACAAATGAAGTGGCTATGGATAATAGCCTACCATCTTTTAACATATTCTCCTTCTAAATCACTTTCTAATAGGGATGACAACGGGGCGGTTTCGGGCCGGGGATTGGTCCCCCGTCCCCGTTTAAAAAATTCGTACCCGTCCCCACTTAAAAAACCGTGAGGATTTAAACGAGGATCCCTATCGGGTAATCGGGGAAAACCGTGGGGAAACGGTTATTTAAATAGGTAATTTTCACAGCGGTTATCCCCGTTACCGTTTAAATTTCACACGATGACATGAGTTATTTAAAAAAAATAATGTCATTATCGGATCTAAACTTACTTGAAACACCAAACACCACCAAATGCATCCAAAATATAAAAACAAAACAATTCAAATAGATAATTATCGGGCCAGATATTCGGGTAATCGAGGCGGGGATTACCAAACCCGTCCCCGTCCCCATTTAAAAAATTCATTTTTCCCCGTCCCCGTTTATCATTCCCGAACTCGACCCGTTTAATTCGATTTTCGGTTTTCCCCGACGGATTCGGTTTTTTTGTCATCCCTACTTTCTAACAGCTTTATTATTTCTTCTGGTGAGTTTTCTAGAATGTGAACTCCCCCTCTTTCTCGAAAGTCAGATTAGCGAGACAATCAATATTGATTTAATTATATTTGAAACTCTCAAACTTTTATTAAAAAAATCAATACGGTCCTACACTTTTTTACACTTAATGTATTCCTTAAATTATTTTTTAATAATTTAATTTTGCAGTATTTTTTATATTTAATGTATTGAGCGTCTTAATGATTTTTATATTTTATATTTTTTATCTAAATAAATTTTTAAATTAAATAAGTCCTCGAATTTCTTAATAATCAATTAAGCCCATCTACCACATTATCGTCCATCGAGAACTATCACAACATTATTTATTTATGGATTTAGATTGGAATAATTATAATTATAATTAAAAAATAATTCATAATATAAATAATCCATTATATATATATATATATAATAAAAACTACCCGAGTACTTGGAAAAATTTAATTTTGTGATCCGGGCTCGACTCGAGAAAAGTCGGGTCGGGTACCCAACCCGATCGGGTAATTTATTTTAAAAAATTACCCGATTTTTTATGTTCGGGTCGGCGGGTCGGGTCGGGTCAACCGGATCGAGTATTTTTACACACCCCTAATGACGGTGCCAAATAGGTGACATGGCTTCCATATGATATATATCATTTGGAACATCATTTTTCTTCTCCCTCCTTTTAGGTAGAAATTATTCAAAGAAAATATATTTGATTCATAGAATACAAAATTATTTTGATCAATATTGGGAATTAATTTTGACATTATGGCTTAAATTTTTAATAGGTTTATAAATATTAATTTTAGTACGAGTAACCATGGTTTGGGTGTTGATGGGTGGGTTTAGAGTGGTGGTGGGGGAGGGTTTGGACCCCTGGAGAGAGGAGAGAAAGAGGAGAAAATGAACTTTGCGAAGTATAATTGATGCGAAGTATTATTCGATGAAAGTTCGTTTATTTATTAAACAAATGAATATGAACAAAATTATATGTTCATTTAATTAAATGAACGAACACGAACAAATGGTTCGTTTATTAGTTTACGTTCGTGAATTTTCAATAATTTGTTTATTTATGTGCATTCATTTATGTTTG